AATAAAAGTTAATTGATTGAAAAGTCATTTTCTTAACTCGAATTCTCAAGGGCTTTATTCTGATTTTGCTCATTCATTATGAACAAATTTAATGATATTTTTATAAGTTTAATTTGTGAAGAATTGTGGAAGGCAATACAGACTCTAAACTAGTTATTAAAAAAAAACTCTCTAAAGTTTGTTAGTATACTTGCTAACTTTAAATTAATAGCAATAAATGGATGCAAATAAGGACCACAGACGCAGATTATCTACAGTTAAAAAGTGGGAAAAACTTTTGATATGCGAGTTAGAATACGATTTAAATGGAGATAAAGTTATAAGATTAAGATGCAGTTTATGTAAAAAATTTGAAAAACGAATAAGTCAAACAAAATTGTTTTCTATGACCTGGATCAAACCAGGAACAATATCAATAAAAAAAGACTCACTGGCAGCGCACTTAAGTAGTGCGCAACATAAAGAGGCCATGCGAATTCATCAACAAACAACATTAGGTTCAGTTTCATTATTTAACCATGTTATTCATAATACTCCTATCGGGTGTGGTTTACGTAAAATGGCCGTAAAAGATGCCGACTCGTTACGGAAAAAGTTTAATATTGCATATTACTTGGCAAAACGAGAGCGTCCATTCACAGATTATCCTTATTTGATTGCATTAGAAAAGACTAATGGGGTTACAAATTTAGGAGTTTCTTATGGCACTGACCGTGCAGCTGCAATATTTACAGATTACATTGGCACCGTAATTAAAAACAAATTAACTGAATGTTTAAAAAATTGTAGATTTTACTGTGTTCTCTGTGATGGAAGCACATATTCAGCTGTATCGGAACAGGAATTGATTTACATTCTTTATTTAAAAGACGGAAGTTCGAAAGTAGAATTCTTATCTATTGAAACGGCAGAAAATTCTAATGCTGTTGGCCTGAAAAAATGTATAACAGACGCTTTTACAAGAGTTGGCATTACCAATTCTTATAAACATCTATTGGGTGTAAATCTTGATGGAGCTAACGTTAATCTAGGAGCTTATGCTGGTTTAGGCGCATTACTAAAGGAAGGTTCTCCTTGGCTGGAAATTGTACACTGTTTTAACCATCGACTTGAACTTGCTTTGAAAGATGCGTTTGAAAGTTTATCTGCCTTCAAAACTGTTGACAAACTCCTTTTACAACTTTATTACTTGTATCAAAAGTCACCAAAGCGCTACCGAGAACTACAAGGGTTAGCCGAAGCTTGGGGTAATAGCGTTCCGAAACCAACAAATGCATGCGGAACTCGGTGATCACAAGTATAAAGCAATGAAAATTGCTTTAGAAAATTATGGTGTGTTTATAACACATATTGAATCATTGGTTATAACAGACTCCCAGGAAGCAAAGAAAGCAGAGTTAAAAGGTTTTTTAAAGCGATGGAAAAATGCGTCTGTGCCTATTAATTTATCAATATATCTTGATGTTTTATCTCCCCTTCAGCGTTTGAGTTTAAGTTTTCAGAACATTATTCATGATCCAGTAAAAGCTGTAAGAAGAGTCCAAGAATTTACATGGACAATGGCCAAGCTGCAAATTCTTCTAGAAAATTCGTTAGACAATTTTCTTGATGATACAAGTGTTATGACCCATTATAAAAGACTGTCTAAAGATATTGAGACAATTGATTCAAAGCAATGTTATCAAAATATTCCACTTTCTCAATATACCGAAGTTAATAGCCATGTTCTTGACCAGTACAAACTAATTATTGCAAATATTACCATATGTATGGAAGGCCGTTTTCAATCTCTCCAAAAATTACCATTGTTTATGAATTTGGTAGCTTTACTTGACGTTTATAACTGGCCGTTAAATGTGAATGACGGTACTTTTGGCGATAAAGCTATCGGTGAAGTTGTTGAACATTTTTCTGAATTTTTAATTGGTGTAGGATGTGATTTGAATAATATACTTCATGAGTGAATCATTTTAAAAGCATACATGTTTCCCATCATAAGTAACAATCAAAATGAGTATTATTTGAAAATTTGGGAAATTGTTTTTTCCAAATCAAGTTTGGTCAAAGAATGCCGAAATATTCTTGATATTTTTGAACTATTTTTAATTTGTCCTTTTACAAATGCGAAGGTAGAACGAATGTTTTCATGTATGAATCGCGTAAAAAATGACTGGAGAAGTTGTCTTAGACGAGATCGTTTAGAATCTCTACTTCGGATAAGCGAAGAAGGTCCTGAGATTGACAAATTTGAACCTGATACTGCTATGGACGAATGGTATAATGATAAAGTTAGACGATTGTCAGCAAATTTTCATCGTTATCCGGAAAAAAGAAAAAGAAAGTCAGGAAAAACAGACATTGATCTAGCGACAGTTACAATATCAGATTTGGAAGAAAGTGAGAGTGAGGAAGAATATTGTGACAACTTTTAATTTTATTTTAGCGCATTGTAACCCCTTAAAATTAAAATATCAAATAACAACTTTAAATAGCGTATGGTTTTTAGCTTCGTAAAAATAATTTTACGTTAGTAAAAATACTTTTACGTTAGTAAAAATCCTGAAAAATTCTAAGCATTAAACTAGTGAAATTATTACAAAACGATAAAAATATTTACGATTACGTTCTAATACTTTTTCTATTAACAATCAAAAAAAGTATTAGATCGTAAAAGATTCTATTATTTAGACACATTTTTTTCTTTCGCTTTATTTTATTGAATGAAAAAAGTGAACGCTAACTTTTATTAAAAATGCATTGAATGAAAAAGCAATAGATAAAAATAGCATCGGAATTTGATAAGGTTACTTAGATAAGAAAACTTAATTATCATGACTTAATAAGAATTTAATTATATGACTTAATAAGAATTTAATTATCATTCTTGTTTGTTGTGCAGGTTTATGTCAAAATGTTAAGTTTTAACATTTTATCACAATAATGTTTTTGTCATTTTTAATAGTTTTTTATAACTGTTTCAAAATTAGAGTTTTAAATAATTTTTTTTACTGTTAAAAATTTATAGAAAATTAAATATTCTAGTTGTTTTAAACAGTTTAAAACATGTAAATAAAATAGAAGATGAAATAATTAATTAAAAGAAAGTTAAGAATATCAAGTTCATTGATTTTACAAAAATACAGCCGTTAGATTTAATGCAATATGATAATAGTTATAATGTAAACTATAACTAAAGCTATTTTACAACCGCTAACCGTAAATGTTATGACATCTTATGCAAAAATGAGACTTATTATGTATGTTAATATAAATAAGTTAAAATAAATAATGCCCTCCTCCCCACAGGGGAGGAGGGGGAAGGAGTTATGAGCAACAAAAAAATCGCGATTAGATTTTTTTATGTTAATTCGAGCCCTGTATGATATATATATATATATATATATATATATATATATATATATATATATATATATTATATATATATATATATATATATATATATATATTGCGAATCAGTAAAGCGGTTTGTATTAGAAACTTTAACAAGATGTTAGGAATTCTATGCCAGTTTAAAAAATATATAAAATTTTATCATAGGTGACTGGGTAAGAAAAAAACTGTTTTTTTTTTGATACTATGTATTTAACTTATGTTACATCACTTACATTACCTTGCGATTATTATCTTGGATTTTAACTTCTATTATTTTGAGTTAGAGTTACATAAAAAAACAATTGAACTCATTCATTAAAAATAATTAACAAAGGAAATTTTAAAAAACTGGTGGCACTCTTCCTGATTGATTTTTAATAACATATATAAAAGTTATCAAATTGAAAACAATTTTACCGCGAAACCAAGAGCAACTTTGAAACCAAGAGCAACTTTAAAAAGTTATTTTAGTATTACAACATTTAGTATTACAACTAATTTGAGTCGTTTAAATATAAAAATCTTTGGTTTCTCGAAGTTTTTACTTACACTCCTTACGTTTATGCGTATTGCCTTGTTTTCATTAGGTTGAATCTTTAAAATGCTGCAAAATATTTACATTTAAGTCTTTTGAAATATTTTTGAAGAAAAACTACTATCACAGTTTAGAAGGGAGAGGGAATCAGGTATATGCGATCGTTTGTGACAGGAGGAAAGGGGTTGAAAATTGATAAATATAGGGTGACATGCTTTATGGATGACTCATAATAGCATTTACAAGCGATTTGTTTTACTAGCACAAAGATAAATAAGGTTCTAACTGATTTTTTTATTTTAGGAGAATAGCAAATTAATTTTTTTCTTCCTATTGTTTAAATACAAATATTTAAATAATTATTATTTTAATTTATTTATGTGTATTTATGTCAAATAAAGTAAGAATACATAAAATTAATAAAATAATAATTACTTAATGACGTACTTTTCGTTAACATTTTATTAACGATAAGCGTCAGAACTTAAGAAAATGTTTGCAGTTTTAACTTAGGTTACACAAATTTAAAACAAAATTGTGCTATAACTAAGCATCATTATTCAAAACTTTAAATGCAAAAATGTTACATTTAATATTCTTTCACATATATTATTAAAAAACTTGAGTTTTTTAACTAAATTTTATAACAATCGAAACTTTATCATGTTTTTGTTAACTTACGTTACATGAAAATTGCAAAAGTTCATTTGTTATTTTCTTAGAATATATATATATTTTATAAAGTTTAAAATCTAACCAACAATAATTTGAACATGTTAGCTCCATTAACACGCTAATTTAATTCCTATTATGCAAATAAATTCATGGTTATAATAACATTTTACAATGATACCTTTTTTATCATGCAATGAGAAAAACCGTAACTATTGGAAGAATAAAAATGACTTAAATAAATTAATTTTAATGCTAAAGGTATATATTAAATAAACTTTCATGTGTCTACATCAATATTCATTTGCTAAAAGTTGAAGAAAAATAGAATAAAATTTGACTACTTTTTCATTTTGTGCCGTGGAATTGCCCATATATATATGAGGGTGTGTTTTTTTAGGTTTTACAAATGATGGATTGTCTGATCAGCTTATATATTTTAACATAAGTACGAATCAGTGGAAAGTTATTAGCATAAATGAACCAAAGCCAGTATGTCTTAAAACAATTTTTTTTTTATGTTCAACTATTTATTGAATAATTGTTTCATTTTTATTTTCCATCAACAGTGATTATAAAAAAATCTTTCAAAGAAATATTTAAACAAAGAGAAAGAAGTGAATATCTTAATGTTTTTAAAATTTTTCAAAAAGTCTTACCTGCTAAAAAAGTAAAATTTTAATTACTGTTGTGATTGTTATGATAACAACATTCTATTCTGCAAACTATTCCGCAGTATATTATCTAATACCCAATTATTTTTTTGTAACAAAAAAAAATTGACATAGTTTTAAAGAAATAATATCTCAATTTTTTTTAAAAAAAGATGTATGATTGTAATTTGATTTAATTTATAGCAAAGACTAAAATTTAAATACATTAATTAGATAATGATAAAAAAATATGTTTAATAGATAAATATGTTTAATAGAGTTTAATAGATATTCTTTCAACCAACATTGGTTTAAATTGACATATTAAAACCACTTTTTTGAAGATGTGCATTTTTATAATCACTTTTTATAGAACTTTTTTTCAACTTATAAGTTTTAAAAAATAAATTAGAATTAGGGGAGGGTGGGGCACATTGACACACTTTTGGTTTTTGCTTCGCAACATTTTTTTAATCGGCCTCTTTTTTTTTGGCGATGAGTTTAATTTGCAGAATAAATTAACACCTACAAAATTAAATTTATAAATTATCAAAATATAATAGTTTAAACTTGTGAGACTATTTAAAGTAAAATTAGATAAAATTAGAAATTTGTTTCAAGGTACCCTACCCATGGGATACCTTTATACACACAAGGGTATCATTAAAAAAGTAAATAAAATGTATAAAACATAGAGCAAAGGCAGATTTTTACTTTAAAATAAAAACAAATTAAGAATTATAACCCAAATAATAAATCCAGTGGTCTAAATCACATTTGCCAAGACCAGATAATATATCTTTTGAAGTGTCATTCTTAGCATCAATTAAGTTATAATGCAAGAAATTAATTTAAATTTATTGGTATTTAGGGTTCTCGATATGACCATGCTGGTGAAAAATATGAAGATGGATTTTTAATTTTTGGTGGTGAGTTAGCTGATGGAAGTTTTTCAAATGAACTTTGGTATTTTAACAATAAATGGATTCTGTTAAGTAATGACAAATCAATACCTGGTCTCACAGGACACTCTGTGACTGTTGTTGGTTCAAAAGTGTTTATCTTTGGAGGTAAAAAAAAAAATATTCAAATGTTTGGTGTAATACAAAATTTTATAGATATCTTAAATTTTCAGATTTTTAAAGAAATAGTGAAAAGTACTAAAAAAATAAAAACAAAAAAAAAATTAATTCCTTTAAGTTTAAGTTTGAGTTGAGTCAAATGCTCTTTTTAATAAAGGTTAGTTTTAAATGCTCTTTTTAATATATAAATGGCAGATTTGAATCCTGTTATGTTTTTCAAATTTAAAAATACTTTTGTGTTTTTTAATGCTGATTAATAATGGACAATAACAAACAAACAAAAACAGTTTCTTCAGGTAAAGGTATTTTGAGCTGTGTAAGTATATATATATATATATATATATATATATATATATATATATATATATATATATATATATATATATATATATATATATATATATATATATATATATATATATATATATATATATATATATATATATATATATATATATATATATATATATATATATATATATATATTATAAGAAAAATGTCTTATAAATAAAGTTTTCGAAAAAAATACATATAAAGTAAATACATAGGTTATTTCTTAAGCTTTATAAGAAATGTAACACTTATTGAGTATTGTTTTTTTCTGTAAAGGTTTGCTATCTGTTTTGATAAAATAAAAATTTTATAAAATGTATTAGTGTAAACTAAAATATTCACTAATGTAAGCTACTGTTTTCATCAAACAGTTTGATTGGTTAAAAATTGCCTCTGGATTAGTATTAAATGTTTTCTCTAGATTAGGATTTAACATATGCATTTTTTAATAAAGAAAACTTTTTTATATTTTAGATCTAGCATGGAAAATTTTATAGAAATTTAGTCATAATTGATGTGATATTTGGCTTTTTAAAAATGTGTAAAGTTAACTATTGCTTAAACTAATGTTGTCAATAATGAAAATTGTTCTGTTTCATTGATAGCTCCATATAGACAAATTTATGCGAATTCTTGCATGAAGTATGCATTTAAATAAAATGAAGTAAATCACTCCATTTTTTTTTAAACATTAAATGTTCTAAATGTTAATCTGCAATTGAATAATTTCATAAAATCTTTTATTTCAATTGAATAATTTCATAAAATCTTTTATGAAATTAAACAATTTCATAAAATCTTTTATGAAATTGAATGAAAGATGAAATTGAAAAAAGATGTTATAGGTGTGTAATATAAGAAATCATAAAATAAATATATTTAAAAATTTTTTATTTATTATCTCGCAATTGCAAGAATGTGTAGTGATTGATTTTATCAACAACAAAAAAAGAAAAACAGTAGTTATTACAAACTTTAAGTGACATCATATGAAGAGTTTATTTTTTTACTAGCTGTTCAGACCCCTAAATTACGGGTCTTAATAAATCTACTCCATAGCGACTTTTTATAAACTTTTTTTATTACTTAGTTTTTAGTAAGTGGTAGAAAAGTAAAAGTTTTTAGTAAGTGGTAGAAAAATGCAGAAAAATTATACTTATTGTTTCTTTTTTAAAATTTTGAAATAAAAATTTTCTATTATAGTTAACTCTTAGAAATGTTTTGGTTGTTGCCGTTGCGCGAATTGCTATTTATCAACAGATTGGATATTAGTACCTTTCTAAATGTTATTTAAAATACCTGCTTCAAATGAGTTAATTAATTACCATCTTTATAACAAGTTTCAAAAAACATGAGGAAATAGATTTAAATACATGGAATAACTATGACCTATATAATACTGGTCATAGTAAGTCTATTCCATACTGACCACTTTAATAATTTCACTTTATTTCAATAAATTTTAAAAATCAGCAAAAAATGAAAATCTTGTTTTTGAGTTAACGATTTATGTTCAATACTTTTTTTTCAATTTCTATAAAAAAACAGTTTCTATTAATTTTTTTCAGACCATCCGCACCTCATTAAGACTCTTGCCCCATTAATTTTAAAGGAAATTAAAGTTTGCATGTAAAATCTATTTTCTATAAGAAAGAAAGTTGTCTCTTTAATGTGTGTTAAACGTGCAGACCTAACTAATTACTTAAGCGCATTAATAACATAAGTATCTCTATCATGAGATATGCGCCATAAATTTTGATTTATAGAGAGTTTTTTTAAAGTTTTTTAAAATATAAATAAAATAAAAGATATTTTTATTTACACAATTATTAAAAAAATAACATCGCATAACAATTTTCAATAAATTTCAATTGTATGTCTATTGAACAAACACGTCATTTGATTAATCTAAAAAAGTTAATTAAATTACAAAAAGGAAAAAATACACCACATGAATTAACTGGAAATTTATTTATACATAGTAAATAAACAAAATATATAACAAAATATCTCAATTTACCTGTTGCTGATGTTTTTTTAAAAGTTAAATAGGAAATACAAAAAGCGTCTGAGTTGAGTCTTCCAATATTATACAGAGTATAATACTATTTTAATGGTCATCTAAATTCTGTCATTGTTGAGCATTTGGTTTAGAATATTTAACGGGCCGTGGTAAAATGGCTGTAAAACCTTTAAATTTCCTTATTTCCTTAATGTTAGATATTTTTAACTTTTTATTATTTTTAAAAATTATACATTTAATAAAATAGTTTATTTTAAATATAAAATTAGAGTTTTCAATTATGTTCTTAGTAAAAACAGCCCCTTACTCTTTAAAAAAAGTTAAGGCCGTCACGTGGCAAGTTCAAATCATCAGCTTTTCTTTTTTTAATTTTTGTTATTTAAAATGCAAAACAAAACAACTTTCTTCTTTCCAAAACAAACTTCTTTCTTCTAAAGCATTTTATTTTGTATTTTAGAAAAATCAAAAAAGACTAAATACAAAAAAAAAAAAAAAATACAAATACAAATAGTAGGAATTGACAAACGGCTTTCTACTTTAAGAGCCCTGCGTGCTATCCCCTTGGCTACGCTGGCATATTGTCTAGCAAAAATTTTAAAACTATATAAGAAATAAAAGACTTGATAAAACGGAAATAGATGCTACAGATCAAAACTTAATGAGATGTTGCCACAATGCAATTTTCAAGTGAAAGGAAAACTATAAAACTTGGTATATGTTTTAGTATGTTTTAACATTACATAATTTAAAGTTTATATAAGTTAGATATTTGCGTTTAATTCTTTCTCGCTATTATCTCAGTTGCAATCGCTGCTAAGAGTACTGTGTCAAACATGCTCAAATGAGTACCTTATTATATTATAATATGATAATTTTAAAAAGTTTAAAAAAATAAAATTTTATAATAGTTACATCAACTTCATATAATTAACAGATTGTGCAATATTAAAAAAGTGATAACAGAATTTTGCTTATAATTTAAAAAGAGTTATAATTGAAAAAGTTATTTAATTTTTAAAAAAAATGTTGTTCTTTTTAATTTAAATTTTTTTTATATATTTTAATTCATTTATATTTATATGTAACATTTAAATTAAGTTATTTAAAATTAAATTTTATTTGTAATATTAATTATTTAAAATTAAAAAAAGAAAGAAACAAAGTACACACTGCACAATATTTACAAAATAACACTTCTAGATTTGTTTTTCTTAATTATTAAATTAAAATTGTTTTGCAGTTATTTATTTTATTGTGGTAGTTTAAAAAAAATTAATGTCCTTCGATTTAAAATAATTTTAGGATCTCAAAATCACAAAGAGCTTATGTGTTGAGCCGTTTTTTATTTAAAACAAAGCCTGAATAGTATATTAGTATATAATGTATACTCTATGCCAGTATTATGCAAATTCCTATACTAATTTTGATTATTATTTCTTTTAAAACCATCTTTTGTGTTTTGAATTATTTTTTACTCTATATATTATTGTGGTAGAATCTACCACATTAATATATAGAATAAAAAATAACCATGCAAAACACAGAATAAAAAAATGCTATAAGAACATAAATGTACCATTGCTTCATTATTTTTATATAATACTAATATATTGTTAACATAAGCTAACAAGTTCTATTTAACATTAGTTGCACTTACCATATATAAACATAATTTTCTGCCACCCAGGTTACATTTTAAGACCACTTAAAACTAAAACTTTAAAACCATCTAGGTCGAATCTTTGGTGACAAAATATCTTCAACTATGTATATTTACAACATTATTGACAATGTATGGAAAGTTATTGAACCAATGCCAGTATTGCAATCTAGATTAAAATTAGTTGGGCATACTGCTAGTTATTACAAAGAAAAAGAAATTATTTTGATTTATGGTGGTCTGCATTTTACATCAAAAAAGTAAAAGTATTTTATTTAAACTCTTAATTTAATAATAATGCAAAGTTTTTAATGTAATAAAAAGTAAATATAAGATGTATATATATATATTTTTATGTTTACATTTTTGAATCTCCTAATAGTTATTTTTATTATTTTTATGTATAGTTGTGTATCATTCTTTTATAGTGCTAAAAGTGGCGTATCTAATGATATGTTTGCTTTCAGTATTAAGTTAGAGAAATGGAGTATATGGTTATTACCAGAAAGTTCTTCACCTGCACTTGCTCTCCATAGTGCAGTTATTTCTGACAATCATCTTATTTTACATGGTAACTTTTCTAATTTATAAAATACAGGTTTAAAGGTGTTTACAAATTTATGTGTGTATGTATGTATTTATGTATAGGGTGGGAGCAGTCATATATATATATATATATATATATATATATATATATATATATATATATATATATATATATATATATATATATATATATATATATATATATATATATATATATATACACACACACACACACACACTTACTAAAGAGTATTTTTATAAGCATTTGCTCACTTTTTTTGCTTACCTTAACCCATACAGCTTTTTTAGAAAAAGAACAAAGAATGATGAATGAAACGATTGCTGCCCCATCCCAAACCCTCAGTCAATGTAGCAGCACTCCACTGCGAGTCAGGCTATTTGTCAGTCGATGTATGAACAAAAGCCCCCAGCAGCAGGTTATTTCAGTATGACGTCAGATTGCTTACCTTAGTAGGCAATACTATATATATATATATATATATATATATATATATATATATATATATATATATATATATATATATATATATATATATAATTTATCAATGATCTTTTATCATATATATGATTAAATCTTTTTTAAATACCTTGTGCATTTTTTTCAGATTTTAGAGGTGTATTTTTTTTTTTTAATGATAATTTCGATTATTTAGTTATTTTGCAGTTGAAATAGTGTGTCCCCAGATTATAATATTCTGTTCTTAGGCAGCTTGATCTGTGTATTTCCATTCAAAATCTAAAAAGATGTCTCATGTTAGCAAGTCTTTTATAATATTTTATATAAATTTTTAAGATAATTTTTTGTATAAATATTTAAGATAACACTTCATATAAACAAAAGATTTTCTAGAGAGAATGTTTTTATGATTTTAGTTTAAAGTGCTCTTAAAATAAAATAAGGTTATAAATTTTTATTTAAATTTATCACCTTATTTTATTATAAATTTTTATTAAAACATATTATCTTATTACATTTTAATAAAAAATTTAGGTATAAATTTTTATGAAAATGTAAAGATAATATCGGTAGAAATTTTTTATTAAAATAAGTTATTAAGGTAGTAATAAGAATATATAAGATAATAAAAATTATTTTAAGTTATTAAATTAATTCTAATTTAACAATTTAAAATAACTTTTATTATTTTTTAATTTTGATTTAAAACTAAAAAATAATGAAAAGAATAAAAGAAAAAAGAAATAAATAAATGAAAAAAAAAAAAAGGAAAAATAATTAGATTACTATTTTTTATTTTTTTTTAATAATTTTAATATCTAATTAGGAGGATGGATTTTCAATGCTGATCGTAATGAGCCCGAACCTTCAAATGCAACATACTTTTACAATCTTATGTGCTTATTGTGGGTTTCTTACCCTTTAAAGTCTAATGGATATTCACTTAAAAAGCGTTATGGTCATACTGCTTTAATGATGGACATGCAAACGGTTATTATTGTTGGAGGTTTTAATGGAGCTTTTTTGTTAAATGATGTCCTAGTTTTGAAGATTCCATTTCAAATCACTGGTCTTCAGTGTTTTTCGTATTTACAGAATAAAGGTTTAAATATATTTATCAAATACATTGCATGAATTTAAAATTGAAATGATTTCTTTTTAGTTAACAAAGATTTTTTTATTTGCGTTTATATGCATTTTATCTTTAGTATACATTTGAATATGCATTTATATGTATTGCATCATCTTTTATATGCACTTATATGCATCTTTTATTTGCATCTTTATATGCATTTGTATGCACAAAATTTATAAATTTGATTAAGTTGTTTGTAATACAATTAATTTTTTTATTTTCATAAAATTTATAACATATATTTACATTATCATAATCATTTAATGTTATTTGTCAATAATTAATGAAAAATGGAAAAGTATCTATTTTTTTTATATTTTCAAGTTGATCTATTTAGCCAATTTATTTCAGTAAACATATCAGCATATATTTATATCCAATAGCATATCAGCAAATAGTTATTTTCAGAATTTGCCGACCTCATTTTTATGTTTTATGGTCAGACCTTTGTATCAAATATATATATATATATATATATATATATATATATATATATATATATATATATATATATATATTTGAAAAAGCAAAAAAAAATAACAAAAAATTGCCGACCTCATTTTTATGTTTTATGGTCAGACCTTAGTATCAATTATATATATATATATATATATATATATATATATATATATATATATATATATATATATATATATATATATATATATATATATATATATATATATTTGAAAAAGCAAAAAAAAATAACTGATAAATTGAAAATGTTGTCAAACCAGAAAACAAACAAAAAGAAACTCCAATAAATCTTATTGTTCCATTATGTTTTATATAAAAAAGGTTTTTACATGATAAACATTTATAGTAATAAATTACATTTTAACTGTTGCAAGTGACTTTTTATTTTCCATAAGTGCCATTAGATGGTTTGAATTAATCGATTCTTGAAGAGATGCATTTGAATTATCCAATTTTTTTGTTGATTACTTCAATATTTGAAGAAGTAATTTATTTAAGTAAATTAGGAGGTTGTTTAAAAACTAATACTGGATGAATTTTAAAAAAAAAAACATTACTGAATGAATATTATAAATAGGGTTGACAAATAAGATTGTTATAGAAGGTTGTCACTAAAGGAATTATTTCTTTAGATTTCTTTAGTGGTGCTAGTACTTTTAATTTTGCATTATGAAATGCTTTTTCTGTTATACTATTAGGTTAATCACAATCTTTTAGACTTAAGTTTTAGTAAACAATTTTTTTTGATAGCATAGTTCTATGTGAAAATTATTTTTTTTTTGCTAAATTAGAATAAAGTGGATCTATCATAATCTTTGATGAATCTTGAATGCTTTACGATCATTGACTGGAACCTGATCTGTTAGTGGGCTCTTCAGTAAGAACAAATAGTAAAAGATCACTATATAATCTGTTATATCATGAAACATCTGAGTTTCAATGACACTGAGGTATTTTTTGTAATTCCTGATCACTTGCATTGCTAACAAATATAATAAGTCATACATGAACTTTGCTTCATGGTTTGCACTAGGTTGTAAAAACATGAAGTTTCGCAAATCTGCTTCAAGATAAAGGCAACCAGTTGACAAAAATACTTGTAATAACTTCTGTCAAACATTTTTGTTTTAAAAGCTGTTTTGCACAACTTCCTTGTTTTGGTTGCAAGATAGTTAAAAGGTGTTCCAATAGCAAACTAAGGTCTGTTTCGATCCAATCTTTCAATGTTATCATGCATATTTACACCCTTTTCAATCTTAGGCCAAAGATCTTGATTTTTTTTGTGTAAGGGTTGACTTGGTCTTTTGGTTCCTTCTGTAGTTCTCCCATGATGAAAATGCCATTTCATTATATGATGTTTATAATATATATAGTTTTTGTTTTCTGTCATTACTCTGTTTAAAATTAAAATAAAAACACTGACTTTAATTGTATAGTATATTTTATACATGCGCAGTAGCCACAGGACTGGATTATGAGAATAAACTAAAATATTTCTTATTGCACCATTATGACTTCCTGTGTCATAGTGGTGCAGTATATAATATTAACATCTAACATTCTAAAAGCAGCAAATTTATTTAAAAAAAGTTATTTACAAATAATAAATATTGAGTTTCAATCATAGAATTAAAAATTATCTTAAACCTCAATCACAAAGGACAGCAAAACATTATCTTTTGTGATTGAGATTTAAGAATTTTTACATAATAAGAGACCAGATATTTAAATAATGTATATATATTTTTTTAAATATTATAAGCTAATTTTTTTGAAATATTATAAACTAATTTTTTTAATGTGTATAATGTATTTTTTTTTTTAAAAACACATAATTATCATAATTTAATAATAGTATTTTATCTTTTAGATAAATGTCTTTCAGATCCTTCATGTATATATTGCTCTTCTTGTGTTCCTTATTATCAAAAAAACATCTGCTCAGATCCTATACTGAAGCCATATTTATGTCAGGATCAATGCTCCTTTTTATCTACGTGTGAGGAATGTACTGCATATACGCAATGTAATTGGTGCACACTAACAAGTTTTTGTCAGTCCAAAGAAAATAAAAATTGTTTTCAAGAACAGAAATTATGGTGGGGTTCAAACAATGGAATTTTAATTAATGCGACAGGTGAATGCCAATTATTAGACGAGCCACCAGGAATTACTTATATGTATTATTTGAAACCAGAAAATTTTAACTATCCTGATTATGTTAAAGTTTTACCACACGGGAAATCTATTATTTATAATGTTACATCAAAGGCAACTTTGATTTTGAAAGGGGCAATATACCCTTTTTTTCGTTTTTTTAATGCTGATTTTACCAATCATAAAGTTCTACTGCGTGGAAGAAACCTTAATGCAACATTAAGTTTATCAAGTATCAATGGTGTTTCCAACTTGGTCAGTTATTAGTAAAATTATTTTATTTTTTATTTTTTTAAAACAAGTTTTAAAAAATTTAACTCGTTTTAAAACATGCCTTGTTTTAAAACAAGTTAAATTTTTAAAACTTATTTCAGGTTGAAGTGGTGTCTCTGCCGTTTGATGATCAGTACCATGAGGTTGTAACTGTTAAGAACCCTATATTTCTCTACAATAAAGTAGATCGCTTTCAAACGCAAAATTTAAAGTACACAATTGAATTAAAAGCAAATTTGATTAACCTTGGTTCAGACCAATATGCTGCTATTGAAATTCAATGGAATCATACTGATAATGAATTTTTTGCATTATATGTAAGATTTTGTTTGAAAATTCTTTTTATTCAATTTTATTAGATTAGTTTTGCTACATGCAAGTTTAAAAGTGTAAAGTATTTAGTTTTGTATTTTTAAAGCTTTTTTAATTTTTTTCTTAATTTTAATAACTTTTATTAACTTATTGCGTTTAAATTAAAATATAGCTTAAAAGTATATTTAATTATTTGATTTAGTTAAGCATTTAATAAATTAAATAATTTCAGCATGTCAAGGTATTTTAACCTTAATCAAGCATCAGCAATATTAATTGTAATGGTAGTAATAAGGCATGCTATCAGAAAAATTTACCCACCTTTCTTGATCAAAAAAGAATGTAAGAAAGCTTAAATGTATTTAAATCAATATATTTCTGAAAAATTAAGACTGTAAAGATTACATTTTAATAAGGGGAAAAAAAAAATTAAGTTTTACAGAAAATTCTGACTTTCTTTTTGATGCCTCCCATAAGTTTTTGGACAGAGTGATTTTTGTAAGTTTTACTATTTAATACCATTTTTTCCTTAAATCTGTAGTTGATTTTAGTGTTTTTCCACTTAATTTCAATTTCTTTTTTATGATGGCCCAATATTTTTCAATAGAACGTAATTCAGGGCAGTTTAGAGGAATTATCTTTTTCGGAACCAACATCACTCCATTATCATTGTAAAACTTTTGAGCATCTTTTGAGTAATGTATTGTGGCTAAAACAATACTGAAGTACTTCTATGAGCTTTAATTAGTCGTTTTATATGAGAAAGACAACATTTCATGTATTCCCAAGATTTCATTGTGCCCAAACAAACATGAATTGGCAATTTTTGGCTGCAAGAGCAAAGTACCTGCCAAATCATCAATTTTTTTGAAATTTTATTAGTCATTACATACTTGTATTTATCACTCACATTTCCTCTTATTTTAGAAGCATAGTAGCGCTGCCCAGGAATTTGCTTAAAATCTATTTTTAACATTAGTTTTGTCATCCATCAAAATGCATCCATTATGTTTTGTTAACAAGTTGTCATACAACTTCCAAGCTCGACTCTTTGCGGTTGAATTTTGTTTATCGTTGCGATTTGGCATTTTAACTACTTTAAAACTTTGATATCTCTGTCGCCATTTGAAGTCTCTGTCAAATCATGAAACATATATATGGTTATATAGGCATTATGACAGCCTACAGCAGGCCTTGTTTTAAATTAAAAAATGTTTAATGCATTAGCTTAACTTGATATTTGACGTCATAAAATTCTCTTTATTATTTTTTTTTTTTTAATTAACTTTTTAAAATTAATGCAATAATCTTAATTATCGCAAAACAAGTTAAATGTTATTTAACAGCTTTTTTTATTATTACTATTAGGGATTGAAAATTTTTTTTTTTTTGCTTTTTAAAATTTTATTTTATTTTTTTTTAATATTAAGTAATTAAATTGAATATTGCATTTTTAAAAATGTTTGATATCAACAAATTTCTTTCTTTTCTTGACATTTACATGGACAGCACTCTTTTTCTTATTCTGTAACCTCAGGGGTTCCTCAAGGTTCAATCCTTGGCCCTATACTCTTTTTAATTTACATTAACAATCTTCCAGATATTCTCACATCTAAGGTGGTATTGTTTGCTGATGATACTACCATTTATTCTTGTCACGATAAGAAGCCAACTCCCTCTGATTGCTTGCAGAGGACATTTGAGCTTGAAAAGGATCTCACTTCTGCTACAGCATGGGGCTCACAGTGGCTGGTGAACTTTAATTCAGATAAAACTCAATTTTTTTCAGCCAATTGTTATTGTAATAATTTAGACTTTCCTATATTTATGAATGGTAATGTACTTGATGAGTCATATACCCTTCATCTTCTAGGATTAACTCTTACTTCTGATCTTTCTTGGAAACCTTATATCAAATCCGTTGCAAAATTAGCATCTGCTAAAGTTGCATCTCTTTATCGAGCTCGACACTTTCTTACTCTGGATTCTATTCTCTATCTCTATAAATCTCAAATCCGTCCTTGTATGGAATATTGTTGCCATATCTGGGGTTAATCTTCTAATGATGCCCTTTCTCTTTTAGACAAGGTGCAAAAATGCATTGTAAACATAGTTCGACCTGCTCTTGCAGCCAACTTTTAACCTTTATCACATCGTTGTAATGTTGCTTCTCTTTCTCTTTTCTACAAATACTATAATAGGCACTGTTCTAAAGAGCTAGCATCTCTTGTGCCATCTACTAAAGTTCATTCTCGTGTTACTCGTCATTCAATTAAGTCTCATCCTTTTTCTGTTACTGTTTCTAAGTGCTCCAAAAACTTTTATTTGTCTAGTTTTTTTCCTTGAACATCTGTTCGTTGGAATTCCCTTCCTTCATCTTGCTTTCCTAATTCATATAATATGCAATCTTTTAAGTCGTCTGTCAATCGTTATCTTGCTCTACAATCTTCATCTTTTCTCTTCCAGTAACTTCCAACACTAATGCGTGATTGCTTGCAGCCTTGTTGGAAGCAAAGATGTTTAAAAAAAAATTGCATAAATGAATTAAAATATGTTAAATTTTGAGTTTTTAAAATGAATATTTCTTAAATTTCTAATTGTGGCTTTGTAACTACAAATGATTTTTTATTTTAAAAAAATTAGCGAGTAACAAATAAAAAATTATATTAATTTATTTGCTTTATTTAATAAAAGTAAATTATAAGTTAAGTTAGTTTACTATTTTATTATTAAAATTATATCGCTGTAAAACTATATAATTTCATTTATTAAAAAATAAATGCTGCAATTTAACTTGCATTATAAAAAAAAAGTTAAACTTATGTTTTGTGCAAATTTTTGATGCAGCTGTTTATTTAAAATTTAATTTTAAGTAAAAAAAAAATGTTTAGGAAGAAAAACCGAAAAAACAATTTGTTAAAAATCAAAATTATATATAAAAAAATTAGAGTTAAATAAATTTTACAAAATTTATAATAAAATATCTATCGTCTTGCTTTAAAAGAGTTCAATGACTGTACATTTACCAGATGAATTGGTAATGAATGTCATTTATTCGCTATATAGTTACTAAAGAATGCTTGTCAAGACTTGTCAAGAATTCTTGACATTTTTTTTTTTTTAATATTTAGATTATGATCTCTTATGCTGGTCTGTTAGCTTGTAATGATAGTGCAAGTTGTTTAGGTTTAAGCTGTGAAATGTGATCGATATTGTTCAATAATTTGTACTCTTGTATTAGATCACTGCGCATACCTTTAGTTTCCAACATAGTCAATTTCATTTTGGATAGTCACTCCTCATAACACAGATGTTTAAGATTTTGCACCAGTTTGGTTGCGCAACATTAGACCTTTTCTAGTGTTGTCACCTTTTACAGTAGGATTCAATTATAGGATTTCAAACTAAAGGTGAGGTCTAACTAGCACTGTGTACAGAGTATGAATCATTTCTGTATTTAGATGAGTGAAGGTACTCTTGATGACTATGAGTACATTCTGCCCTTTTGCTGCTCCTACATTAACTTGATGATGCCATTTGATGTCTGATGAGATCAACACGTCGAGATCATGTTCTACTGTTGTTTTGCCTAGTTTAATCAAGATCATTTTCTGTAATCGTATAGATGGTCTTAGAGTTCTTTTTGCTAATGTTTCGTTAATGTGCATAATGTTGCACTTTTCTTTGTTTAACTCCATAAACCATATACTTGTCCATTCAATTAACTTGTTGATATCCTTTTGCAAACTGATCAATCCAAAATGTTTTTTATCGGTTTCATTAGCTTGCTGTTGTCAGCGTAAATTTTGCATAAACATTTTAGTGTTTCTGGTATGTCATTGATGAATATCAAAAACTAAAGAGGCCCAAGAACAGATCCCTGAGGAATGCCACTGAGTATATTCAACCATGGCAATTAAACTTCTCCACTTATAATGCGTCGTTTACATCTGGTTAAAAAAACCACCCATATATACTAGAATTTTAAATATGATGTCGGTGAATGGAGTGGTTTATGCTGTGGTTGTTATGCATTTGTGATTTTTTGACTTGCTCCAAATTTTGCAGATGGAGTATTTGCATTTGTTGGAGTTGCTAATGTTAATTGGCCATCTGTTAAAGCTGTTGTCACTATCGTACCTACAGCTGTTACTTTAATCATAGCTACTGCTGCATTTTGGATGATGTACAAAGTTGACATGTCGATTTCTGCAGCATTTAGGTGTTTTCACTTATCCACTACTTGCTTTTGTACAATTCGTTGAATGACAATTGCATGTGTCAAATCAGGATTAATGTATACTATATGTTGGTAACAAACGCTGTCTTCATGGTGTACGTGAAAATATAAATATTATTGTTATATGGTGTATTGACTGGAATATGCAATTTTATATTCAAAAATGTCAAATTATGCCACTAAACAAAACAAAGTAACAAACTATCAAATGAGTTTGAAGCAAAGTTTGAAGAAGATCTTGGTGTTGTGTTTAAAACGATCTGAAAAATGATTATCATATCAACACAATAATTTTTAAAGAAAATATATTTGGTTTTATAATAACCAAATATGCAATTTATATTCAATTATGTTTATCATAATAATTAAGATAATCAATTATACTTATTATAATAATTAAGATAATTATGCAATAATTATGCTTACAGCCATGAAAACAGTTTGAACCAATTTGGCGATTGCTGTTCCAACACTTTATCTTTTAATTCAGTCTATTGATAAATTGAGTTGAGGTTAGTTTCTGGTCACTTTGACTTTGTCCTGGGCAAAAAACTTGGTTGTAACTTTGATAAAGGTAGTGAAAAAAATGATCCATCCTGCATAAAAATATTACACTTATGAATTTCAATGTGAACTTTTGAGCTTGTTAGACAACAACTCAACATACTTTGATCCATTTACAGTAATTCCTGGATCAAAATGTAGAGACTTTCTTAAGTCAGAAACCATCTGACTTGAGGGATGTTTCAATGTCTGTATTGTATATTTAATGTCAAATTGCTTTCCAGGTGGTCTCCCGACATTGTGTGTGTACTACTATTGAAGGGTAGACTCATCTGATATCATATACTGTGTTGTTGTCCAGTGGCATTATTTCAATGCAAATGCCAGGTGCTTGGCTTTCATGGCAGGTGTAAGCCTAGATTTTTTAGTCAGTTCATAGGACTCATAATCAAATTTTTTCAATAAATAAGAAACCTTTTAAAAGAACAATTAAAATTAAGTTATATGTATATTATTATACACTTATTTATTTTGAGGTTTAACGACAACTAGCTGATGCAATTTTACGCAGTACCTCTATTTCAACTATTTTTGGTGTTAGGTATTAAACTTTTGTTCTAGTGTTTGGAGTATACTTTAAAATTTGTTAAAAAAGTACTTGATAACAAAATTATTCCATTCAAAGTTAAGTTATGAGAAAAGATTACATAATAGAACAGAATTTGTCATTTGGTTAACTTTTCAAAATGTTTTAATAAATCCTATCAGCTGGATATAATGTCTCACTTTTTTTTTATGGATCAGTTGAAATTATATGTAACTATAATGCAGAACATTTTTATAATATTCATCAAATAATTGATGGAAATTATAAAAATTAAAATGATTATTGCTGCAAAAGTACTGCAGTAAGCTTCATCATGGTTAAGAAAAATAATAAATAATGGTAATAAATCTAAATCAGATTTATTAAAAAAAAGTTGTTAGGCACCAGCTCTTTCTTAAAAAAAAAAAAAGTTATTAGGCACCAGCTCTTTCTAAAAAAAAAAAAAAAAAAGTTATTAGGCATCAGCTCTTTCTTAAAAAAAAAAAAAAAAGTTATTAGGCACCAGCTTTTTTTTTAAAAAAAAAAAAAAAGTTATTAGGCACCAGCTCTTTCTTAAAAAAAAAAAAAAAGTTATTAGGCACCAGCTCTTTCTTAAAAAAAAAAAAAAAGTTGTTAGGCACCAGCTCTTTCTTAAAAAAAAAAAAAGTTATTAGGCACCAGCTCTTTCTAAAAAAAAAAAAAAAAAAGTTATTAGGCATCAGCTCTTTCTTAAAAAAAAAAAAAAAAGTTATTAGGCACCAGCTCTTTCTTAAAAAAAAAAAAAAAGTTATTAGGCACCAGCTCTTTCTTAAAAAAAAAAAAAAAAGTTATTAGGCACCAGCTCTTTCTAAAAAAAAAAAAAAAAGTTATTAGGCACCAGCTCTTTCTTAAAAAAAAAAAAAAGTTATTAGGCACCAGCTCTTTCTGATTTTTTGTTGATAAAACATAAAAAGAGTCTTATTTAAAAAATAAGTTTGAAAAAATTGAAATATCAATAAGTCATTTAAAAAAATATTTTGATTTTTAATTTTTTTTAGATTTTATAAAACTAAATTAAAACAAAGCAAAAGTTCCTAGTAGAAGCATATTCTTTCTTTATAAAGATAAAGTTTTTAAGTTAAAAAGATAAAACTATTTTTTCGTTTTGATTCAAAACTTGTTGGTTTTATCATTGTTAAAGCTTGATAAATCAGTTAAAAAAAATTTCAAGTTTTAGTGTGTTATAAGACTTTAGTGTGTTGTTGTTGTGTTCATTAAATTGTTGTAATTTTTTTTTTCTTATTTAGTGTGTTGTTCATTAAATTGTTGTAATTTTTTTTCTTATTTAGTGTGTTTTTTTTTTAAATTGTTGTATTTTTTTTTTTCTTATTTAGTGTGTTGTTCATTAAATTGTTGTAATTTTTTTTCTCATTTAGTGTGTTTTTTTTTTTAAATTGTTGTATTTTTTTTTTTCTTATTTAGTGTGTTGTTCATTAAATTGTTGTAATTTTTTTTCTTATTTAAACACTATGAGTTGCATTTTTAGTTTTTTTTTATTTAAAAAGTTTTTTTTTAACTAAAAATTTTAATTTAAAATTGTAGAGTTTTTGTCTAGTTTATGTTCATTATTTTTGTTAATTAACAAAAAACTAGCAAAAAGTCTACACAAATGTAGTTTCAATGATAGAATAGTTTCTTGTTAACAAGACAAAATAACTTTTTATTATTTTTGTTTTTATTTAGTACTTGAACAAATGGATTGTTTTTGATTTTCTTCAAATAATAAATAGTTGATAAATTTATTTAATAAACCATAATTACTGACATTTAGCTCCTATTGGAGTACGAAAACAATCCAGAACATCAGAATGGTTAATTTTATTTCAAGAATTAATGTATACTTAATTCCTACATTAAGGCTTAAATAATTTTAATGTGACATTAACTGTTAAATAAAAGTGTTTCAGCTACCAGTTTGATTGACTGCAAAATCCATCTAGTACCAGAAAATTTATTTCTGCAGAAAAAATGTTATGTTACCGCGTATTTCAAAAAAGAAAAGTAACAGTCATTATTTATAAAGTATTTAACAATAAATTAGAAAAACCATGAAATCGATCCAGACTTCTAAATGTAGAAATAAACCATATGATTACATGGAGTGTATTTCTTACTATTAGAAAAAGATTTTTTATTTCAACTAGTATCACCAAATCATTTTGTTATTTTTAGCACTGTAAAGTCTTCATTTATGATGTTATTGTTTTTCTTGACAACTGTTTTGTTTTCAGTTTTAGGTCTGTCAGCTACCATAACTAGTTATATCATTAACTTTCTTCAATTTTTTATTATTTGTAGTTCTATGTGAACTTAATTTTGATTGATTTTCAAATTAACTTTTGGTTTGTACAAATATTGACACAATTTATACACATATAGTTACACCTTACACCACAATTTATACATATATAGTTACACCTTACACCACAATTTATACAAGTACCTATATTTATTATTATATTTATATATTTCCACATCAAGTATGAAAAGATTCTTATCTATCTTTCATTTTCTTTTCTTATTTTGGTTTATTATCATATACACTTATTTGTAAGATGTTATAAATACTAAATTATTATATTTTTATTTTTACATTTTTACGTTTTTACATTTTACTGTATAAACCTATATTTGTATTATATATATTGTATGCATCTATCATATTTATTGTGTAAATTTTTTGAGTATGTTTTTCTCAATATCCATATTTTTTTCTAAAAATTATTTTCTCTATATTATAGAGTAATGGTGATGTTCAGTTCATTGATAATACAGTAATGGTGATGTTCAGTTCAGTATGTATATGTATATATACAACCCTCGGAATAAGCAATCCTATGTATATATACAACCCTCATATATGTATATATACAACCCTCGGAATAAGGAAAA